AACTGGGAGTGACATCCAAGCACATACATTCCCTCTCTGTTCTCCCTCCCACACACTGTTCCCAGTACGACTTTGCAGAGTCTGTCTGCAGTAGAACTCTAATGACCCAAGCCTGTTTCCTTGGACACCTGGGCTGAAACAAAGGGCATTCAACCACTTGAAGTGGTTAAGTGTTGTGGACAACACAAGCCTAGACTGAATACATTGTCCTGATAAAGAAAAAATAGAAAAAGTTGAGGACTGGCGATAGAGGGACGAAATGTAAGAAGAATAAACAGCTTGAAGATCATTTTGGTTTGTTGAGGGCAAGGCAGTTCTGGTGATTTTTTTTTTTTTTGTAGTGAACTGAATTCAGTTCTGCAACATACATACTTCTCTCATCAGTTTTCCCTATGAAATCTCTCATAAATGATTCTTTTTACAGCTTGCCTGTGGAATGAATTTTCTTTTGGCCAATAAACCAGATCAAATCTCATGCCAAAATGCAGGGGAAGCTGTACCAGCTTAGGTTATAGCATATTATACAAAACTATTTGATAGGCTTTTCTATATATCAGCAATGCCCATTAAGAAAGCAAAATACATTTATATGGGGATAAGAGTATTAATAGTATTTCTTTAAAAAAAGATGATTGGAACAAATCAGTAGATACAGCCTGTTTCCAATTCAGTATCCCATTGGACTGGAAAGAAGAATGTTTTCAAGAATAAACTGGGCCTGGCTTACAGCTTAGTGTCTAAATTCTTGCCTTGCAACCACTGGCATCTCATGGGAGCCAGTTCATGTCTCAGCTGCTCCACTTTCCTTCCAGCTCCCTGCTTGTGGCCTGGGAAAGCAGTCGAGGATGGCCCAAAGCCTTGGGACCCTGCACCTGAGTGGGAGACCCAGAAAAAGTTCCTGACTCGTTCCTTTGGGTTGGTTCAGCTCCAGCCATTGTGGCTACTTGCTCATCCATCTCCACACTGCTACAGTTCTCTACTGGGAACTAGGAGTAATCTTAGAGACAATTAAAAACAAATTGAAAGAAAAACAGCACTAAAAGCCTCAGGGTGGGGACAGGCATTGAGTCTCAGGGGATTAAGCTATGTCCTGCCAGCATCCCGTATGAGCATGGGCTGGAGTCTCAATTGCAGCACTTTCTATTCAGCTCCCTGGTAATGTGCCTAGGAAAGCAACAGAGTATGGCCCTAGGGCTTGGGGCTTGGCCACCCACACGAGAAACCCAAAAGAAGCTCCTGGCTCCTGGCTTCAGCCTGGTTCAGACCTAGCAAGTTGGGGTATTTGGGAGTGAATCAGCAGATGGAAGATCTCTTTGTGTGTATGTGGTGTGTGTGTGTGTACGTCTTGCTGTATCTCTACATTTAAACAAACAAACAAACAAATAAATACAAATTTGAAAAACTAGTTGGGACCCACATCAGAAGAGCACATTCATCCATACTGGATCCCAGGCTTGGTGGAGGAAGACTGGCTCTGAGACAGGCAAAGCCAGACTTGATGCATCTTAGAACTTGAATCTTTCGCATGAGATGGGCAGCAGGAGGAGGAATATGAGAGAACAGAAGGAATAGGGGCAGAAAACCCTGTTCTACTCAAGGTGCTTCACGAGCTGTGACAGCTTACACTTGGCCCTGGCTCTGCCTTGCTTCTGTCTGCCCCTTTTCTGCCCGCTCTGCTGATCTTTGCCCTCTCTTGGTACCAGGACTCCTGCCTCTACCTCCCTGTACCCCTTCCCTTGATGGGCACTCCTTGTCTCAAGACAATGACTTCATGCATTCTACCCTAAGATTTGAAACAATGCCTGCCTCATTCAACTCTCTCTCCACCTCCCCATTACATGCACCTTATCTTGCAGAATGTTTTTGAAATCACAATTAGTTCTAAACCTTTCCCTCCTACACATACCAGCTAAGAACTCTGGCGGAATGCCCATCGTCTATCTGGGGCTCCATCTCTCTATTTTTTCAAACTTTGATACTTTATTAGAACAATAACAAAGTGAAGGAGATATAGAGTGAGAGAGAGATAGACAATCTTTCATCTTTTTGTTCACTCCCCAAATGACAGCAACAGTCAATGCTAGATCATGCAGAAGCCAGAAGCCCAAAATTCCATCCTCATGATCCATGTGGGTAGTAGGAACCGACTTCCTCAGGCCGTCTTTCCCACCTTCCCAAGTTCATTAGCAGGGAGCCACATGGTAAGCAGATCAGCTAGGAGTGGAACTGGTGCTCAGATATGGGAACCATTTAGGGAGTAAACCACTCAATTGTGAAAATTTAATTTGCTGCACCACAACATTGGTCTACTTCACTTTTTTTTTTAAAAAGTGATCTAGGGGGTGGGTTTGTACTAGCTGTTGAAACACTGAGCACCCAAGTTCTACTTCAACTCCAACATTTGTGTTCACATAGACTCTGGGAAGCAGAGGGAATGGCTCAGTTGTGCTCCTGGCACCTATGTGGGAGACCTAGATCCTGCCTTTGGTCTGGTCCAGCCACAGCTATTGTAGGCATTTGGGGAGTGAAACAGGGGTATGGAGAGGAAAAGAGAGAGTAGAATGGAAAGAGAAAGCAAGTTGTCATCTGTCTGCATCTCCAAATGTGCACACTGGGCAGGGGGGAGGTGAATCCCACAGCTGAGAACTCTGTCCAGGTCTTTGTTGTGGATAGTACGAACCCAGTCATTTGAGCCATTTACTGCTATGTGCTACAGTTCACATTTTCAGAAAGCTGCAATCAGAAGCTACAGAATCCAGGTACTCTGATGAAGGATGTAGGTATCTTAACTGGCATCTTCCACTTGTTATTTGAAGGGCAGAATTACAGAGAGAAAGAAAGACAGAAAGATCTTCCATCTATGGGTTCCCTACTCAAATGGTCACAACAGCTGCAGTTGAGTTGATATGAAGCCAGCAGCCAGAGGCTACCTCCAGGTATTCCACATGGGTACAGGGGCCCGGCTATCTGCCGGGAGTTGGATTGGAAGTGGAGCAGCTGGGACATGAAGAGGCACCCATGTGGGATGCCAGTGCTTACAGGAGGATTAGCCTACTACAGAATGAACTTTATAGAATCTGGAGGCTTATTCCTGAAATAGCTGTAATGTCCAGGGTGGGGCCAGGCTGAAGCCAAGATCCAGCAACTCCATTTGTGTCTCCCACATGGGTGTCAGGGGCCCAAACACTTGAGCTATCTTACTCTGCTTTCCCAAGCACATTAGCATGGAGTTGAATCTCAAGGGAGCAGCTAGAACTCAAACTGGTGGCCATATGAGACGCCAGCATTGCAGGTGGCAGCTTTACCTGCTATACCACAGTGATGACTTATGCTCTTTCCTGATTCTTCCATGTTACCCTAGTTTATAGATCGGAAACCTTTTACTTTGCCAAGGGCTGTTTGGACATGCATAACACAACTTGTGGGCCACACAAAATTATAAACTTGCAAATTTACCTGTGGTAGATACACAGAATTTCAAGTGTTGCCTGTAGTTATCTTGGACTTTTCCCTTTCCCACCATAGTTGGTAGTTTCATCTCTGTCTCCTCCCCCACGCTCCCAAATAGAAATGGATCATCTCTGCTCCTGAACCTGAAGATCTTCCAGAGAGCAAGGCCAAGGCCTTCAATCATGTGCTGCAGAATCTTGCCCTGGGACTGGAGTGTGTGGTGTCTTTGAAAGTCAACTGAAGATGTTCTCACACTAGGCTAATGGCTCCACGAGGGAAGGGCTGTCTGCCTTGGTTTCTGACCTTTCTCCAACAGTATCTGCAACAGCACTTGGCACAGGCTATGTTATGGTTGGGTGTCTGTTAAACAAATGACTCCCCTGTCATATCAACTCCACTTCTAAAAAGCTATCCTAAAGAAACCCATGTGTGCATGAGAATGAGAGGTGGAAACAACAGGGAGATGTTTGCAAATCTTTATTGTTACTAGTAAGTACAAAATAAATGGCGATGGGAGTCTGGGGTTTACATCACGTACAGACAGCAAACAATTCAAGAGCTTGCCCAGGATACAAATAACAAGCAGTGAAGATCAGGTAAAAGTTGATACCCCACATCTACAGGCGTCAATACAGAGGAAAAAATGTCTGGAATTAAATGCTCTGAATTGTCGTTGGCACATCTGAGTTGTCATATCTGACGAATAAGGATAGTGCTACTCTAACAAATATAGTGCTATAGCTAACAGAGTGCTTACCAGAGTGGGAAAAATCACTAGGAGAATGCTTCTGGTTCACGGGAGCACATTGATGCTCACAATTTCACTATGAGGAGTGCTAAGTTCACTTGTTGCTGGCCGAAGGTGTACAGCCCTGCCTGTGTTCTTCAAAGGCCACCACGTTCTGTTTCTCATTACAGGCAGGTCACATCACAGAGGCTGAGACAAGGACAGAAAGGAAAACAGGTGACACTGACGTCCCATTGCCTGTTGACCTGAGCCATAGCCTTACAGCATCCCCATGCTCTGATCCTGCCTGGCCTCAAGGCTCAGACGTATCCCCCGCTGCTCCTCCTCTTCCCATTGCGTCTCCTGAATGCAAGCCTTCTGCTGCAGCCATGGTGACTCCATCACCTGGCCTCTGAGTTCCTAGGCTAGTGTAAGGTATAGTCTGCCCATCAGGAGCTGGTCTGGGCTCTGGGAGCCCATGGCATCCTGGGTAGGGGACATTTTTGGATATTATGAAGAGACTTCAAAAACTTTCATAGAAAATGGAATTTAAAAGGTCAGCTTATTTTTGTGCATAAAAAAATCCATGGTGTTTTATTTTTCCTCTCATAATGTAAAATTTCCAGGAATTTTTTTATGATTCCCCATCCAGAGCAAAGAGCATGGAACAGTTCATCATTGAGCCTCAACAATGAACCCCTAAAGGAAGAGGCAAAGAGAATAATTTGGGGAACAAATGACAAGATGGGATCCCAGTACCATCACAAGAACAGCAAGCATCTGGAAGTATGGGGTGGGGTGGGCTGGAGGGTCACTTACAGACTTAGTCCTCTTCCTCAGGGTCGCTGATCTCTTCATAAGCGACCACATACTTCCGCTCCCGCAGCCGGTGGCTCCAGACACCACTCTCCTCCTTCTTGACTGCTATGATGGAGAAGAGTTGGTGAAGGAGGTGTGGGTTGGTCAGTGAGCGTTAGGTCCTACTTTGCCAGAAAAGCACACTCCTCTCCCCACCCAAGTGTTCCCAAAGCAAGTGTCCCACATGTTCCTATGCAGCTCAAATAGGCTGATGTGTTAAGACCCATATCAATACAGACCAGATGCCAGTTCAAGTTGCAGAACTTTTGCTTCCTCTATCACCAGGTTTAGATTCCCAAATTCTTCACTTACCACATTTCTTTCTTTCTTTCTTTCTTTCTTTCAGCATATGTTAAAGGCATATTGTGTCCAGCACTGAGTTAAAGGCTGGAAATACAACCCAGAATTAGCTATGTTCCTAGATCAACAAAGATGGAATACTTTGAGGCCCTGTTCTGCCCTTGGGCTGAACCTCAATTCTCCATTTCTGTTTTATGGACAAGGACTCTGAAACTTAGAGAGTTGAGAAGACTTGCCAAAAGTCACATGGCTTTTGTATGGATGGCAAGTTGTAGCTGTAGTTTCAGAAGTCATAAACACTCAGCAGGCCACGGGCAAGGTCCTCAGCTTAAGTGGAAGCTAGGCTCATCCAGAGTCCATGAGACCACACATGAATGTAGGCAGGGAAACCAGAGAGCTTGCTCCCAAGTCATTTCCTTTTACCTGGCATCACAACTTGCTTCCCATGGGTACTTGGGGTTCCCCGGCGAGGCGGCTTTTTCTTGGTTCCTCCTGACTTAGTTGCTCCCTGTATTGCTTTTGAAATATTTCCTTGCTTCACTGGTTGCTGGATCACCTTTTGAATAGGAAGGGCATACACAAGCAGTGTCCATGGCATTTTTCTAGCGCTTTAGAGCTTCTAAAGTGTCCTTATCTGCATTATTTTTAATTAGAGCACTCAATAACAGGGGCATCATTCCATTATTTATTCCTAAATTACGAGGACTCTGTGAGGTTAGAAGGGAAAAGGAATGACCTAAATGAATGGTGTTGGCAAGACTGGAATGCTTTGTTTCACTCTCTAGCCACACATTCTCACAAACAGCATGAGGCTCTGTGTAATTGGGACTATGTTACACAGAAAATTTGGTGAGGAAAAGCATTCTAAGAATCCATCAGGCTGATACGGGGGCACAGTGGTCTAATCTTCCACCTGCAGTGCATGGCAGGTTCGTGTCCATGGAGCTGTTCTACTTTCAATCCAGCTCTCTGCTTATGCCTTGAGAAAGCAGTAGAGGATGGCCCACCCACATGGGAGACCTGGAAGAAGTTTCTGACTTCTGGCTTCAGATCAGCTCAGCTCCGGCCATTATGGTCACTTGGGAGTGAACCAGAAAGTGGAAGACCTCTCTATATATCTCTATCTTTCGCTCTATATAAAACTATACCTTTCATAAATAAATAAATAAATATTTAAAATCTATCAAGTCTATAAAAGGAAAGGCTTTTATAAAATGTGGATGATCTCATATAAAGCCTGTAGATTGGCTTCTGGAAGAATAAACATAAAAATGTACAGAGATGGAGCATTGCTGAAAAAAGACGGTATTGGGGGAGCTAGACATAAAGAAGGCAGAGGGAAAAAAATGGCTGGTGGAAATGAATCCGGGCAATAAAGAAAGCAGTATCACGTGCAGCCTACTGCCAGCCCCCGGGCCAGAAGACTGAATGTGGAATCAGGCAAGGTCGTCTGTCTACTGACTTCTGCTTGTGTCAGGGTGCAACATGGGCCAGCAATCTTAAGGTACCTTACACACAGCTGTCTGATTCAAGAATGTGAACAGTGCACGTAAAACAACCTAAAGTGCTTCCTGAGCTCCTAACCACCTTTCAAGGTGGTAGCAACCAACACGAACGCTTCCCTTCACGATCCTGCTCTGAATTTGCTCCCCATTCCTCTCCACACTGGGCTGGGTCACAGGCTTCAGACGTTAGGGCCCTCAAGGAACTCTCAGTAGAGAGGCATCAATCGATTCCCCAGCCATGCAAGTGGCCCTGTGACAGTTGAGAATGAAACTTATGCTTATTTAACTTATAATATTGCTATTGTTTGGAGATAATAACAGAAACAAGATCAGAGAGAGTTCCGCAAGGATTAAGTACATTTATATATGTGAATGGCTTAATACCTGGCACTAGCATGAACATAAAAGAATTATTAGCTAACAGAATTGTTAGGTATTGTGAAGGCATCAGTGCTACAGCAGGATAAAGACATGAGCAAAGGGGAGCAAGGCAGGCAGTCGGGTTTGATGTTTCCCAACACTTAGCAAAATTCACATCCACAGGAGGACAAGAGGTCTCTGGTCCTTTTGGGTGGGAGGATACTCACCTTCAAGGTTTTTGCCTGCCTCATGCCAGAAGGCCCATCACCTGGAAGAGGGTAAGCAATCAGAACTTTTCTTTGTTGATAACTATTTCCAAATTCAACAGGCAACTGTAGTATCAAGGGATTCAAAGGCAGATGCTTATGCGTCTCGACTAGATGGCTGTCTCCTTCTATTATGTGACATATTTCTTACTTTTGTCCTTTGAATAAAACTGATTGGCTGAGAATTTGAACTGGATCTACTTAAAGATATGAGGGAACTACAAACTGTACACTTAAAATGAGTCTTACAAGGTCTATTATGCCTCGATCAAGCTGTTAATGTGTGATGAAGCATGGACGATTTAGTTCAGTGGTTCTGAAATGTTTCCAGTTGAAAGACACTCCTTTAATGTAAAAAATTTGGCAGATACTCAAGCGATGGACTCTCTGAGCTCTCCCCGTGATTGTGGGGGCGTGGACAGTCTGGTTTGTTTACTTGGAGAGTCACAAGTCTACTGGAGAGATTTGGACATTCTGACCCTACCTTCCCACAGGTGTGCTATCAGAGTGGAGGAGCCAACATACGCATTTTGTCCCTTTTATGATGATGACACACATTGCTCAAATGCACAGATCTCCATCCCAGAGTCCGCCCAAACAGAGTTTAACCAAACTCTATTGTTACTATTTATTGACATGTGAGAAGGCTGTGTGTGTGTGTGTGTGTGTGTGTGTGTGTGTGTGTGTGTGTGACTTCTAAGTTCAACACACAGACTCAAGTTCAACTGGGAATAAGAAATAGGATTGGGCCTGGCACAACAGCACAGCAGCTAAAGTCCTAGCCTTGAACATGTTGGGATCCCATATGGGCGCCGGTTCTAATCCCAGCAGCCCCGCTTCCCATCCAGCTCCTTGCTTGTGGCCTGGGAAAGCAGTTGAGGACGGCCCAAAGCTTTGGGACCCTGCACCTGCATGGGAGACCCGGAAGAAGCTCCCGCTCCTGGCTTCAGATGGCCTCAGCTCCAGCTATTGTGGCTGCTTGAGGAGTGAACCATCGGAAGGAAGATCTTCTTGTTTGTCTCTCCTCCTCTCTATATATCTGCCTTTGCAATAAAAAGAAATAAAAATCTTAAAAAATGAGATTTTTCACTACATAATGTTTCTCCATTGTCTCTCAGTGTATTTATGCTATACCCATATTCTGTTATGAAACCTGGACATTTCAGGTGACTTTACCTTCTGTTCATTAACTGTTCAGTAAAAGTAATAATCCTTAAATAACTATTTCAAACACACACAAAATGATGGTGAGAGTAATGCTGAATCCAGTTGGATCACAACGCTTTCTCATAACTACTTCAGAGCTCTCTGATTTCTTCATTCAAGATCTCAAAAACATGGTAAGAGCTGTGGCACAGCAGGCTGAATCACCACTTGAGATACCCTCATCCCATTATCAGTGTGCCTGGGATCTAGTCCCATCGTTGCTCCCTGCTAGTGCACACCTTGCGAGGCTGCAGGTGATAGTGCAAATCCTTGGGCCCCTGCCACCCATGTGGGAGACCTGGATGGAGTTCCTGGCTCCTGGCCTGGGACTGGCTCAGTTCCAGCTATTGCAGGTGTTTGGGGCAATGAATGCAGCTGATAGAAAGTCTCTTTTTCTTTCTCTGATGTAAACATGGAAGAAATAAACATAAAAAATGTATTAAAACACTGCTAACAAGTATGGCTAATGGTCCAAACTGCCTTGAAACTGGCACCAATTCTCAGCCTCTGCTTATGGCTACACCCCTGACTTTGAAGGGCTTTATTCTGATTCAGGTTTGGATTCATTTACCATTTACTGATTATCCACTGGAATGGATATTCTTGCTTGGTACGTCCTAGAATTTTATGTGAATGGCTACTCTATCCAACCTTCTACACCAGCTTGTTTTTACTCAGCTGCAACATAAGCGAAGAAGCAACTTCCAGGGCACTGGGCAGGGAAACGATCAGCACCTGTGCATCCCCTTCCCGTCCACTCACCCCGACGCTCAGTGTTAGTGTTCTGCTCTTCATCAGAATCACTCTCACAGCATCTTTTAGCATGTATGCCAGAACGCATGAAATCTGGCATGGCCCGTTTGAAACCTAGAAAGAAGCAAAATGTCAGTTCTCTGAGAGGAGGAATGAAGGTGACGGCAGGAGGAGAGTGTGTGTGTGTATGTGGGGGGGTGTCAGCGGGGGCGGGGAGCTGCAGCGGTGCACAGACAGTGGAGCTCAGAAGAGGAGAGGCTGATGACAGAGAATGGAACCAACTCTGAGCACCCCTGCCATGGCACTCCCTGCCCTCAGGTCTTCCCAGGACAAAAAAAAGAAAGATATCCACAGACTGCTTTGGGAGTTATCCCTGCAGCAAAGGCAAGTGTTAGGCACCTGTTGCAGCCTCAGAAGGACTTGCACAGCACATAGAGAGGAGAAATGCCCATGTGTTTCCAGGCATGTGTGTGTGCACCCAGACCATCCTGGTACCTAGTCTAGTCATGGTGGTATAGTTTCTCTTCATGTACACATAAGTGATCTTCTCAGAGTAACCCATCTTTTCCCATTCCTTCTTAGAAAAGTACTGGGAAATATCCTGGAAAGCCTAGAAAAAAAGGAAAAATTAATTCTGGCAGCACCTTAGATGGATCTGCTATCCAGCCAGAGCCGCTTCCTCTGCTGTAGGACTGTCCTCTGAATAATCCCTTCTGATTGATGTCATGGCAAATGGAGACAATGCCGGTGACATTTCCTGGCTTCCTTTCTGGCATGCAGTGGATGCTTAATGTTGCTGGTTTGCTTCCCTCCCACCTCCCATAATAGGCTGGGAGTGTAGTATAAGAACATGGATCTGTTGTTTCCAAGCACGTTAGGTGACGGCAGCCTGCGAGTGCAATATTCCCAAAGCCCGGCACCTCCTGGACACCACTCTTGTCTCTGGTGCCTCTGTCTTCAGAAATCTTGTCACTTATGCTCTTCCCTAGCCCACTCCTTTGCCCCCTCTAGGTTATCTCACCTTGCAAGACTTATCTGATTTCTGAGGATCAGCCCCCAGGCTCTTGGAAGAGGAGCCCTCTTTGTTCATAGCACGGGAAACAGTCTGAGCTTGAAGGGACACAGGCTGATCATCTACAGGCACAAGACCAAAAGTACTGAGGACACAGAAGGCACTGGGGGATGGCCACACTTGATCGGTCACTGAGTTTTAGGTTTACTTTTCTTCATATTCGATTAACCTGTCCCTGAGAAAGGCTCAAGGGCTGGGAGTGCCAAATGACAATGAGGGACTGGGGATCTCTGAGACAAGCATTTATTAGAGGTGACAGGTGTGGGCATGAGCAAAGCAACCTGGAGTCTTTCCGAGGGGTTAGTTACTGTGAGTGGGGGCAGACTTCAGAAAGTTTGTGGAGTTAGTGTGGTTCCTAACTTTGGTTTGGTACAGCCTTAGCTGTTGCAAGCAATTGAATCAGAAGATGGAAGATGAAGATCTCTGTCTCTTTCTGTCCTTCAAAGAAAATGAAAGCAAATACATGTTAGTTTAGGGACTGGCATTGTGGTTCAGTGGGTTGAGCCACTATTTGCAATGCTGGCATCCTGTTTCAGTGTCAGTTGGACTCCTGGTTCCTTTGCTTGTGATCCAGCTCCCTGTTAATGCATCTTGGTCATGTGGGGGAGTGTGGGATAAGCCAGCAGCTAGAAGATACCTTTCTCTCTCTGTATTGCTCTGCCTTTCAAATAAATAAATCATTATACATTATTTTAAAAACCCATGCAGTTTTTTCCCCCAAATATGCATTTCCAGGAACTTTTAGAAGATCCTTCACCTGTGTAGGCTTCAAAATTTTTAAAAGTATTTTATTTATTTGAAAGGCAGTTATAAAGTGGGGTTAGAAAGAGAGAGAGAGAGAGAGATAAGAGGGAAAGATGTCTTGTCCTTTCTCCAAGTAGCTATGAAGACTGACGCCGAGCCAGACTGAAGCCAGGAGCCTAGAACTTCATCTGAGTCTTTCACCTTGGTAGCAGGGGCCCAAGCAATTAGGCCATCTTCTGCTGCTTTTTTAGGCACATTTAACAGGGAGCTGGATCTGAAGTGAAGCAGCCAGAACTGGAACCTGGGATGCCAATGTCACAGACAGTAGTTAGTTCAACCTACTGCACCATATACCAACCCCAGATTTCAATTTTTAAAAGCATTTTGTTGAGATATAAATATATATACACAAAGAAATACACTTAAATGCATATGTAAATGTGGTTTTTAATGAGCACACTCTTAACATTTAAATTAAGAATAAAAGATTACAAGTACCCCAAGACTCCTCACCATTTCTCATTTTGTTTTATTAATGCTTGAAAGAAGAAAATATTATCATTTACATGGTATGATTTAGTGAAACAATATTTGTAACTAAGAACCAAATAGTTAATTTTTTTTGTTCCAAAATAAACTTACCTCTTATTTCCAGTTTTTCAAGAAGTTCTTGAAGCATTGTTATACCTCCACCGAGGTCCTGTTTGGCCTGAAGGAAAAATAAAGACTCTTTGTTGGGTAAATGAAGCACAAAAAGACAAATTCTGCATGACCTCAAACATAGGCAGAAGCTAAAGCAATTGATTTTCTAGAGCCTGGAGCAATAGCCTAGTGGCTAAATCTCGCTTTGCATGCACTAGGATCTTGTATGGGCGCTCATTCATGTGCTCACTGCTCCATTTCCCATCCAGCTCCCTGCTTGTGGCCTGGGAAAGCAGTGGAGGACAACCCAAAGCCTTGGGACCCTGCATTCACTTGGGAGACCTAGAAGAAGCTCCTGGCTTTAGACTGGCTCAGCTCTGGCTGTTGCGGCCACCTGGGGAGTGAACCAACAGATGGAAGATCTTTCTCTCTGTCTTTCCTCCTATTTGCCTTTCCAGCAAAAAGAATTACGAAGAACTGATCCCCTAGAGGTAGAGGGTAGAACAGTGTAGTTTTAGAATGTAGGGAGGCGGAAGGGCTAGAGAGAGGTTGGGTAACAGGTGCGAAAATACAGTTAGGAAGGAGGAATGAGTTCTGTTTAACAGTACAGGGTAATATAGTTTACAATGATTTAGTATATACTTTATAAAAAATTAGAAGAGAATTTAAAGATACCCAACACAAAGAAATGATATATACCTAATCATAGGTAAATGTTAATTATTCTAATTTGGACATTGTATACATTATATACATGCATTAAATGGTCACACTTAACACCATAAATGTGTACGATATATGTTGACTAAAAATTAAAAAAAAAAAGGGATCCACCACCTTGTGGGAATGCAACCAATGCCTGGCTCAGAGCAGCCACCACCAAGATTTCTGTCTATTGCAGCTTCCACTTGTCCACAAGCATGGGGAACATCTTTGCAAACCTCTTTAAGGGCCTTTTTGGCAAAAAGGAAATGTGCATCCTCATGGTGGGTCTGGATGCTGCAGGGAAGACGATTTTGTGCAAGCTGAAGCTCAGTGAGATCATGACCACCATTTCCATCATAGGAAATGTGGAGACTGTTGAATATAAGAACATCAGCTTCACAGTGTGGGATGTAGGTGGCCAGGACAAGATTCGGCCACTGTGGCGCCACTACTTCCAAAACACCCAAGGTGTTTTGTGGTGGCCAGCAATGACAGACAGCATGTGAATGAGGCAGGGAAGGAGCTCATGAGGATACTGGCTGAGGATGAGCTGAGGGATGCAGTCCTCCTAATGTCTGCCAATAAGCGGGTAGGTGGGCACTTGGGACTAGCTTTCTAGATGGGACCTTTGGAAGCCGGTAGAGGTGAGCTGGGGGTGGCCTCAAGGATTACTGGGCTTTCTGCCCTGGAGACGGGCAGCTTGTGGCCCCTTGTGATGGCAGCACCTTTTCCCCATCCCCAGGACCTCCCGAATGCCATGAATGCAGCTGAAATCACAGACAAGCTGGGGCTGCACTCGCTACGCCACAGGAACTGGTACATTCAGGCCACCTGTGCCACCAGCGGGGATGGGCTCTATGAAGGACTGGACTGGCTGTCCAATCAGCTCTGGAACCAGAAGTGAATAAGAACCCCCTCCCACTTCCTCCTCTCCACCCTCTGCTTTCCTCTCATGTGGCAAACGTGCGACTCTGTGGTCCAGGTGCCAGAAGCTGCCTCCACGGTGGGTTCCAGTGTGCCTCGCGCCACCTGTCCCTGTGCAGATGCAGCCTGCAGCCAGGTTCTTATTTAATGTAAATAGTTTGTTTCCACTGAGGCAGTTTCTGGTACTCCTATGCAATATTTCTCAACTTTTTCTTTTTTTTTTTTAATTGTAAAAAAAAATAACTTATTGTTAAATACTGAAAAGGGACTGAGAGGCACATTGGCACCTCTGAGCACTAGATCTGTTAAGATTCACATGGTGGTTGGTTTGAATCGAAACTTTGCATTGATGTGTAAGCCCCCTAGCCTGGGGCTTACAAGGATAGGCCTGAATGCCAGTTCATGGGCTCATCTGAGAGATCCTGTGCATGGTCACAATAGATCCCTGTGGTCATCCTGCATTCCATAGCATCATGCTTGTACTCATGCTCACATGGTCACCTGGGCAGGGGTGCACCAGGAGGCCACGTGCCCAGCAATTCTCTCAGGCCCCCCTTGGTAAGCACACAGCCAGAGCAAAAACCTGTCATTCCCAACACCTACTCATGCATGTGCTGACACACTGGTGGAATGTTTGTGGTCTCACCATCAGAAGCACATGGCAGCCAAGAGGGTTGGTCCACCTACAGCCACAGCCCCTGGAAGCACCCCCATCTCCATGTGTGAAGTAGCTTTCTCTCCCTCAGCCTGCAAGGGTCCGATTTGCCATAGAACAAAACAACCTCTACTTTTTCTTTTCTTTTCTTCTTCTTCTTTTTTTTTGTATTTTGATAAACACTGAAGAAGCTGGAGCTGTTAAATCTATCTTGGGAAAACCTCAGAACTGTTTTATTTGGTGTTGTGGAACCTCTTAACTGCTTTCAATACACGATTAGTAATCAACTGTTTTGTATACTTGTTTTCAGTTTTCATTTCGACAAGCACTGTAATTATAGCTATTAGAATAAAATCTCTTAACTATTTCAGTGGCTAAAAAAAATCCTAGAAAAGAAACCAAAATTATCCTTGGGAAGCAGTGAAGTGAATGTATAAGTAGTTTTGGGGAGGTTCAGATTATTTTTCTAAAGCCACAAGAAATAAAATGAAGAATCACAATGAATTTTCACAGTCAAAAAACAAAAAATATTTAATTATTTTTGTCCTTTTCACAACTTTTTAAAAAAGAAATTTGTTTACTTATTTATTTGAAAGGCAGAGTTACAGAGAGGAAATATACAGAGAGCTTCCACATGTTAGTTCACGCCCCAAATGGGCACAGAAGCCAAGACAGGACTGGGAGCTACGTTAGGGTCTCCCACAGGGGTGCAGGGTCCCAGATACTTGAGCCATCCTTCACTGTTTTCCCAAGTGCATTTGCAGGCAGCAGGAAGGAAAGAGGAGCAGCTGGGACTCAAATTGCTAGAGTAATAACAGCAGGCTTATGTTTTATTTTATAAAAAATATATTCATTCTTTGAATAGCAGTTACAGAGATAGAGGGGGCAAGACAGGTAAAGAAAGAGGAGGAGAGCAGAAGGCAAGAGAAAAAAGAAGGCGAAGGGAGGAGCAGAGGGCAGAGATCTTTCATGTGCTCGTGCATTTTCTTTTTTTTTTTTCCCATGCATTTTCTAAATGGCTGAAATACACTGCGGCAGGCACTTCTGATGCGGCTTTCTACTAATATGCCTGGGAAGGCAGCCGACTATGGCTTAACTGTTTGTGCCTCTGCCATCCACATGGAAGTGGAGCAGCTAGGATTCCAATGCAACCAAGTAAGTGGTAATTTAATCCCCAACCTCACAGTGCTCACCTTTTTAAAAATTACTATTGTTTCATTTTATGACAGTTTCATAGGCTCTGGGATTCCTCCAACTCCTCCCCCCTCCATATTGAATTCCTCCATATTTTTACAGTAGTACAGTTCATATCCAGTCATGATTCCTTCATTCCTTCATGGACCATGCAGAGTCCAGCATCTCATTGTCCAGATAAATTCAACAGTTTCATTGGGAGACCATCCCTGGTCTGAAAGTAGAGCTGGCAGAATATCATCCCCTCCAATGAAAAGCCACAACACAACTTCAACAACAGGAAGAAACATGGAAATTTACAACATCATGAAGTTAATTGACATGGTATTGAGTGACCAATGTGTTAGAAAATGCAAGTTCTTAACCACATCCTGTAACTACTTCATTGACATCTCAATTTTAGTATATACACAACTGGCTGCTATAAACCTTAAAATGGTTATAGGGTACTATTCAGCTGTCTCGTGTCTATTTTCATTTTTATATTTAGCAGCTTATAGTATTCAAGCGTGATTTTTACTGAACTTTGCGAATTTTAGGATAGTCCAAACAGGCTATATCTCTAACAAGCCATATGTTAACGATTGAGGAGCAGAACAATTTTAGGAGGGGTGTGCAGAGAAATTTTCAACACCTTAGTGAGGAGTAACTGATCTTTGTGTCCCACCTAGTTAGGTATATGGGAGTCCAAGCTGACTTTTTCCTGTCTGTTCTAAGCTTTCCTTATTGGTCTCTGTCTGTCTATCTGATTTGAATTTGGGGGGCGGATCTGGGTGCTCACCTTTTTAAAAAAACTTAAATTTTTTTTCTTAAAAAACTTTAATAAACTATTAAAATATTAATTAACTGTACATATTTATGGAGTACAATGTGACATCTTAATACTCATATGGTACATGTGTTGGTCAGCTCATGGTAAATGGCACATTTTTCAGTGTGTGGGGTTTCTTATGGGAGGGGTATTCTGACCTAACAAGGTCAGGTGTTGGGGGTGGGGGAGTCCTAAGCATCTTATTTGAATTTTCTGGCAAAGGGATACGTAGTTCTGCTCTCTTGAAGAGACATGGGGACCACTAACACAAACAGCTTTAGAGACATTACTGGGTTATATGGGAAAAAAGCCCAGAATGCAAGTCCCTAAAACCGTGAATGTGGCAGTAGCTGAGGTGGAAGAACAGGAGCCATTTAAACCTGCGGCAATCTGGTGCCGTCCCCCTCCCAGCCACCTCCTCCCCCCGAGCTAAACTGCACAGGGAAAAGACAGCTAGGTGTTTCTGGGGCCAAGAAGACCGCCGTTTTTATTGCAGACAACCTGTTAAAGTAGTTTTGTAGGCACAGACTCTTTGATATTATTTTTGCGTGGGGAAATTTAGGGGCATCTTGCGTATTTGGGGGTGATGGTTCTCAACCTTAGGGAAGTTTCAATATAAGCATATATTCATTTGTTCATTGAAAATTACTAGATGGCCTGGCGCGGTGGCCTAGTGGCTAAAGCCCTCGCCTTGCACGCCCAGGATCCCATATGGGCGCCGGTTCTATTCCGGCAGCCCCGCTTCCCTTCCAGCTCCCTGCCTGTGGCCTGGGAAAGCAGTCGAGGACCGCCCAAAGCTTTGGGACCCTGCACCCACGTGGGAGACCCGGAAGAGGATCCTGGCTTCGGATCGGCATAGTATCGACCCGTTGCGCTCACTTGGGGAGTGAATCATCGGACGGAAGATCTTCCTCTCTGTCTCTCCTCTTCTCTGTATATCTGAGTTTGTAATAAAAATAAATAAATCTTTAAAAAAAAGAAAATAGCTAGAAAGGAGTTTCATAGATCAAAGATAGTTAATCTCCGCTCGTTAGGGACTGCCGTTAAAAACTTTACTCATATCACAGTGTGAAAAACAATTAAGATCTCTGAGTGAATGAATGAAGACCCAATCACTTGCGTATCCAACAGTCTCCGACTTTCTATCTGCCCCCACCTACCCTCGTTAAACTGCGTGAAAACAACCTACCTCCGTCTTGGCGGTTGGGCGGTCACCGACTGCGGATGGACAAGCGGCGAAGCGAGGTTATGACACTTACAATCAACCAATCAGGGGCGGGAGCAGTGAAGGAACTCGATCTTAGCCAATCAGGTATCAGGAAGGTTCGCAGCATCCGAGACAGAAACAAAAAAGGTCCTAAGTTAGTGTCTAGACGCTGAGAATTCTGTTGGGGGTGGAGATTCTGATTTTCCCGCCCAAAGGGACATTTCACATCCTCTGCTAGCAGAAACTACTCCGCGGGTCGTAGGTCCGGTTCAATGTTTATTAATACGAATGGTCTGGTTTTTCCTTTCCACTCAAAATAGCGTTCATAGCTGTTGTACACACAAGTGAATACTGCCATTTTGTCTTTCGCGTTAGTACTTAAGTGCCTTACATATGGGGTCTTTTCTAGGATCACTGTAGGAACTAGCCAAACACACACATACACACACACGCACATACACACACACACATTCTGATCGGCTTTTTATTGAACATCAAAGCATCAGATATATATGCTATCGGTTGGTATTAAAACTATTCATATGGCGACGCACAGTAGCCTAGTGACTAAATCCTCACTTTGAATGCCCGGGATCCCATGTGGACGCGGTTCTAATCCCGGCAGCTCCACTTCCCATCTAGCTTCCTGCCTGTGGCCCAAAGCCTTGGGACTCTGCGCCCAATCTATCTTTCTTTCTTTCTTTCTTTCTTTCTTTCTTTCTTTCTTTCTTTCTTTCTTTCTTTCTTTCTTTCTTTCTTTCTTTCTTTCTCTCTTTCTCTTTCTTTCTTTCTCTCTTTCTTTCTTTCTTTCTTTCTTTCTTTCTTTCTTTCTTTCTAAAAGATTTATTTATTTTCATTGGAAACGTGGATATGCAGAGAGTAAGATCTTCTGCCCGATGATTCACTCCCCAAGTGAGCGCAACAGCCGGTGCTGCACCAATCCGAAGCCAGGAGCCAGGAGCTTCATCCGGGTCTCCAAAGCAGATGCAGGGTCTCAAAGCTTTGGGTCATCCTCGATTACTTTCCCAGGCCACAAGCAGGGAGCTGGAAGGGAAGCAAGGCTGCCGGGATTAGAACTGGCGCCCATATGGGATCCCCGGGGCATCCAAGGTGAGGACTTTAGCCACTAGGCCATGACTTTCCAATAAAAATAGGTCTTAAAAATATATTT